AAAGGATAGGAAAACTAGATAAGATGTTGTTCATCTAATAAGTCTTACTTAAAATTGGATTTATAATGCTGCTGGTTTCTTTGATAGCATGAACTTTTCCAAGTGGCACTTAGAAAATAAAGTTAGGACATAAATAGATTACATATACAGCATAAAACACCAAATTGGTCTTCTCTTAAGAAAACAAAACAAACAAACAGAAACATTCCTACACAGAAATACAGCATCTATACCTTGACTACTGCATGCTTTTGTGGTCTCAATTCAGGGAATGACAGTTGACACTGAGAATCCTTCATACTCCCTTACATGCATACACAATGAAGGAAGGCAACAAAATTTGGTATATAAAATAGAAATGAAAGGCAAATGTGCGTTAGATGAGTCCAGTTATATAGATGCTGTATAGGAATGTTTCTGTTTGTTTTGTTTTCTTAGGGGAAGACTAACTTGGTGTTTTATGCTGTATATGTAATTTATTTATTTCCTAACTTTATTTTCTAAGTGTCACTTGGAGAAGTTCATGCTACCAGAAAAACCAGCAGCATTATAAATCCAATTTTAAGTAAGACTTATTAGATGAACATCTTATCAAGCTTTGCTATCCTTTGCAAAGATTCAACATTAAATCAAGACCGTCAAAATGGACAGTCTGCCTTTGAAGAACTGTAGACCATCCCTTGAATCATGAAAGATGTACCTATAAGACCAGTTCTAAAAATTGATGTGTTTCCATTGGGATTGGTAAATATGGTGTAATTTAGATAGTGATATAATGTAAAAATAAAAACAGCTCCCATGGGGTTTGGTTAACTTGTAGGTGTTAAGTTCATTCTGGGTAACTGAGACCAAAGGTACTTAAGGTGCAAACTTAACTTTTCAAAAAGTGTGTCGTGGAGAATAGCTGTGTTTTAAGCCTTCATGACTGACAGTCCCCTTCTCAGAAAGAACAGTGGGCTGGGAGGACCTGGTATGGTCCACTTCGTTTTTTTAAAGCAAAATAGTCATTGACATGAGATGCAAATTGCCTTACTTGAAGAAGGCTGTCATTCAGGGCAGGACCTTTAGAACTGTGCCAAGATTTCTTAAATGATTCAATTTGGGTGTTGCCAGGCTGTAAGGAACAGGTTTTACATGTTCCACTTCCAAGGCAGCTTCTCTCAAGACAAATTGTTGCTTAATTTTTCATTTTGATTTTCTTTAGACTCAGCATTTTAAATAACCAGACATTAACTGAGTTGTGGTTTTGGGTTTTTTTTTTTTTTTTTTTTTTT